TGAAATTCGGAGATTTCGAGATCTTCTCCGCCCCTTTACACACCTCTGCAAAGGTATTGAAGAAGTTCCAGAAAGAGGTGCCGTCCACCACCGCGTGGTTGATGGTGCAGCCGATGAAAACGCCGTCGTTGAGCTCAGTTACCTGAACTACGACAAGGGGTTTGTCATGTCCATCGTAGCTGAGAGTGTTATCAAATTGGAAGAACTTTCTGAAACTGAAAGGGATATCTTGATTATGATCAGATGGCAAAAGGGTTTTAAGAGACATGTACGGCGCTTTCGCGTGAACAAAATCGACTCCCAAATCGTTGCAGAGGATGTGGACATGGCCATTATCATAAGTATGAAGGCGGCCAGCGAGAGCCGGGAAGTGAGAGAGAGTTTTAGAAAGAGAAAGCTTGAGGCGAGAGATGAGAATTGCGGATTCAAAGTGCGGTTTTGATAACAAAACACCCTTTTGGATGTACTGGCATGAAAGCATTGGAAGATCAGATACAGAGAGCTTAAGAGATTTAATGGCGGATTTGTTTTGTGGGTAGACAGTGCATTTGGAGATGATGGACACTGAAGAAGAAGGCATTGTTTCTCCTTTCACTAATGTTTGTCGTGTAAATGCGTAATGTTTTGTTGTACATCTGCAAGTTCATGTTCTATGGTATTTATAGGGGATGGTTTGGGTTGTTGACGACATTTATATAATTACATGGCCCACTCTTCAAAACTTTATGCGCAAAATAGTTCAACACGATATCAAAATAATAACGAAAAAACTCACATCTATCGCATGTTTCGAAATATATGATGAATATGTGAATAGTAATTGTGGGTTTTATTAAATGTGTGGATAAAAGATAGTTTAGTATTGAATTTGAAAGAGGGTAAATTTGAGATTATAGGTTGATTATTGATGACATGTTAATAATTAATTAATTGGATAGTTAATTGGACTGTAAAATTGAATAGCAGGTCTCAATTCAGATAAAAGGTAGTTTGAACCAATTATTAAAAACTTTCATGTATTTCAAGAACGATAAAAGCCCCCTTTTGGCTCCATTCTTTTAAAACTCAAAATTTCCAAAACTATTTTTCAACCACATATTATCTTATCAACTTTTTAATTACACATTCAAGATACTCGTTTACGTGAAGGCATGATTCAATACTTTCTTTTTTTTCTCTAATGAAGTCTAACACGTGTCTACTTCTATGTGTCTTGATACTATGTGGTGATTATCACCACATGATACACTCTAGTGCTCTTGATAGCGATTTCAGAACTTGACAACGCTCGTGAAAAACTCAAGCCGATCGGTCCTCTATTCATCCGATTGGAGGTGTTGATAATGAGGTCATCTTCACGATCTCCTCCCTTCTATCCCTATGTAAGGTAGTTCAATTCGCTTAACTTGATTTGAAAAGCTACCGATTACATGTATAGTTATATATTATTTAAATTTTATCTTCAATAATTTTAGGGATCGGGACAAGAAACAGTTGGTTGGACCAGGTTGGGTTCATGCACTGTTGTGGTTGATGGTAGTTATTCACTTGTAGTTTTCTCTCTCTGTCTCTGCTTATGCATCTGTTACCGTCCAATTATTGCTAAAATAAGTAGTCTATGATATCATCAGTCAGCTGAAAATAGTAGTTGGCACTTGTCGAACATTAGTTATATGCATCTCAAATTCATTGAATTCAGCCCTCATTTCCCCACCTCACGTCCTAGGTTGGGTTGGGCCACGATGCTTAATTCAACTGGCGTTTGGTTCACCATCCTGATTAAATATCTTACTTTAATTAGTTTTATATAAATAATTGTATCTCCAGATATAAAATAAGGTTCTAAAAAAATCGACCTAAACATCGACTCG